AGTCTTTTTCTATTAAGTCCTTCTTTTGGGTGAATTATGGAGGGTTATCAACTTTATTAAAAATCTACTGATCTAAATGTTAATCTCATCTTCAAGAAAATACCTGCACAGACTCAAAAATCTTAACACCAAAAAGAAAAAAAAAACAATCAATCAATGGGCCAAGGACCTGAACATACAGTTCTCAGAAGATGATATACAATCAATCATCAAATATATGACCAAATGTTCAACATCTCTAGCAATTAGAGAAATGCAAATAAAAATTACTCTTAAGGTCTCATCTTCCTCCAGTCAGAATGGCAGCTATTAAGAATACAAACAACAATAAATGTTGGTGAGGATGTCCCACTCATACACAGCTGGTGGGACTGCAAATTAGTGCATTCAATATGGAAAGCAGTATGGAGATTCTTTGAAAAACTGAGTATGGAACCACCATTTGACCCAGCTATCCTTCTCCTCGATTTATACCCAAGGGACTTAAAAACAGTATACTACAGGGACACAGCCACATCAATGTTTATAGCAGTTCAACTCACAATAGCTATATTGTGGAGGCAACCTAGATGCCCTTCAGTAGATGAGTGGATAAAAAAAATATGATATATATATATATATATATATATACACACACACACACACACAATGGAATATTGTTCAGCATGAAAGAGAATAAAATCATGGCATTTGCAGATAAATGGATAGAGTTAGAGAATATAATGCTAAGTGAAGTAAGCCTGTCCCAAAGAACTGAATGCCAAATGTTTTCTCTGTTATAAGGATACTGATTCATAATGGGGATGGGGGGTGGAGCACTAGAGGAATAGACAGACTTTAGATAGGGCAAAAGGGAGGGATCGGAATGGAGGGGGTATGCGGATAGGAAAGATGGACATCATTACCCTAAGTACATGTATGAAGACAACCAGAGATATGGAAAATTGTACTCTATATGTGTCCTAGGAATTGAAATGCATTCTTCTGTCATATATAACAAATTAGAATAAATTTTAAAAATTAAAAAACAAAGCAAAACAAAAATACCTTCATAGAAACATTTAAAATAATGGTTTACCTTATGTCTGGGTACCATGGCCTATTCAATTTGACACAAAATTCACTCTTATCCTAAGTGTATAAGCCCATCGATGTTTATATATCCTCTGCCCAGGACCTTCACTAGAAAGTGTTCAGAACTCTGGAATTTCACTACAGCACCCATTCAGGTATACATACTTGAAAAAGCAGATGTATCTGGGTCTACCTGATATTGTACAGTACACRGTTGAGACTGAAGTGTGTACTGTTACTGGGTTCCCAGAACATGCAGGATGAGTAGGTGGGCTCCAGAATTCCAGAACCCATCAGAGCAATGCCCTGAATCCAGCGCCTGGTGCTATGCCACCCCTAGGGGCAGATCTTGCCTGTTTTCTTCTTGAAAGGCCCAAGGACTAGGCCTCTCCTCTACCTGGCACCTGAGTAGGGACAGAGTGGGATTGTCCTGGAGAAGACCAGCCCCTTATACCAAACACCCTGAAAGACCAACACCAGGCCTTGCTTATCTTGTACTTTATACTAATCAGAAACTAAAACCATCAGAACGCTTCTGGGACAGTGCCCTCCAAAGAGCCCTGGAAGTCCAAGGCAGGTATCACCAGATCTGCTAACATTCAAACTCAGAAACTCCCACTCTCCATCAGTCCTCTCCCCTTCCAATCCTTCTGCATTACAAATCTTCATCATCAAAGGTCTCTAGGCACCTCAACATTATCATCTCATCGTCAGTGGGAAGGTCTGGTTCCTGCAAAACACAGGTGGAAAAGGTTGAAATTTTGATCTAAGAGTTCCAGGCAGATAGGAAGGTCTCATCATCTTGGGTGTGCCCAACTCTCCCAGTCTCCATAGCTGTCACCTTCAGACCCCAGACAGGGAAGAAGGTGGGTGGTCTTATTTCCATTTCACTCAACTCACACACCTCCAGAAAGGAAGCAGAACTGGCTACTCTCCTATCCTTGGGATTTCCAGGATCCCACAGAGATGGAAAAGCCTTAAATCTTTATCCACAGGCCCATCAATAGAAGACAGCGCACTACACCATGGTGTGCCCGTCATGGAATGCCATAAGCTGTGGTTTAGTTTATTTTTACTCAAATTTTTTTATTCATCATAATTTTTATTACTATTTTGCAGAACTGGGAATGGGAGCCAGGACCTCACAGTGCTGGGCAAGCACTCTATCCCCAGGCTACTTCCACCAGCCTGCAGCTGGTTTTTTTTTAAAGAACGAGATCGCTATCTGTGGGGTACTCTATTAGAAGAAGAGAGAAGTTCAAAACAATGTGTATAGTAGGCTACTACTTGTGTTTGAAAGAATATATGAATTCCTGCAGACCATCTTTGGATGGCTATATAAGACACTGTCATGGAAGGGAAGAGTTTGCAATAGTAAGCAAGAAGTCATGGCAGGAGAAAGCCAATGTTTTACAGAATACTTTTTGGACCATGGACATGGGTTACCTATGAGGTGATCAGTTTTTAAGAAGCAGTGCTATATGTGTTTATCAAGTTTCTCATTCCCTTTACAATGACCCGGCCAACCTCTGGGGACTGCCCATTACTTCTTCCACTAAAAATATGTTCCCAGGTGTTTTCTCTTCCTGTGTCTCTCCACCCAGCTGAGAAATGACCCTTGTCATTTATTGTCCCTACAGATCAGGGTTGCTCTCCAGGGGTCCTGGGCAGTATCCCCTTCAGGTATCTAGTGAAAGTAGGATGGTCCCAAGGTGGACACCTAGATGGGGGGATGACCTCTGCTAGTTTCCCATTCACATGCTCTCCTGGTGGGGGAAGGGAAAAGAGAATCCAGAGGACCAGAGAGGCTGGTATGGCTCAGTATTGCCTAGCACATGCCAGGCCCAGGCTCTAGCTCCAGTATTGGAAATGAGAGAGAAAGAGAGAGAATCAGAGAAGTTGGATCAGGTAATCTCTAGGGGAATAACATGTGCCCCTTGTACAGAATGAAGACAACTGCCAAGCTTGAGACAAGATTTAGTCAGAGAGCACAGGGGGTCCCAAGGGGCCAAGTGTCCTGGGAGGGAACAAAACAACCAAATGTCACACACAGCACCCAAATATTGTTCAAAATGTCCTATTTCCTTAAGGAAATAATGGAGTCTGAGGCACTTTTAAGCTGCATATTTTTAAGCTGACAGCAGCAGGTTGTGAGAGATATTTGCTGTTACTGGTTGCAGAAGTACTCCCCAAAGTCATGGCTCCCTGGAAATTCATTTGAAACAGGGTCTGGGCAGATGTAATTAGTTAAGGATCTCAAGATGAAGCCATCCTAAATTTCCTGGGGGCTCTAGATCCAAGTGACTGGTGTCCATAAAAGATGAGAGGGGCAGAGAGACAGAGAAGAAGGACCTGTGAAAAGAGAGGCAGTGCCTGGGGGCATGGAGCCATACAGGGCAAGAATGCTGAGKGGTACCAGAAGCCACTGGGAGCCAGGCAGTGGCCAAGAAGGACCCTTTCCTGAAGCCTTTGGAGGCAGTATGGCTCTGCCAACACTTTGATCTCAAGCTTCTGGCCTCCAGAACATTGAAATAAGCCTGTTGTTTCAAGCCACAGGTTTAGGGTCACTTGTTAAAGCAGCCCTAGGAACCCAGTTCAGGTGCTAAAGAAGCCTGATCCAGCCACCTCCCATAAAGCTATTAGAGGTAGCAGTGAGTTGGAGGTGAAACTGAAGGAGAATGAAATTTCCCTCTTTTCACTAGAGTCTACCAAAGTCCAAGGCCTTCTGCCTAGAACCCCTTGGACAGCTTGCTCAAAACCCAAATCCCAGCACCCCATTCTCATAACACTGAATGAGAACCTTGAGAATAAACTCCCAAGGTGAGTCTAGGGAACACTGAAGTTCAAGAGCCTGTGCTTTATGGGGACACTCTGACCTTTGCTCCTGGCTTTTCTGCCACGTGTGGAGAAAGGAGGTCAGGAAAGCAAAGACTGTCCCCTTTATTTGTTCCCAAAGCCTTGATGAAGTGGACTAATTTAACTGYGTCAGACAGAAAGCTGGGACAGTTGCTATGAGACAGTTACCCCGCCGTTGGTGGGAAGTGGAGACAACTACAGGAATGGGCTCTGGACTCCAAGTGGGGATTGAAAGTGGTGTCCGCATGGGGAAATGAATGAAGGGGAAAGGGGCCAATTACACCCTAGCCTATGGAAAAAGTGGCCTAATTATTTTTAGGCAAACGTGAGCCATTGTTAAGCTTGCCCTTTTAAATAAACAGTTGTATTTTTGCCAAATTAGCAGAGAAAAATCGATAGCTATGAATCTCAAAGGGCCTGTCTCCTGGTAGGTCAGACAGCCCTTCCCCCTCTGAGAGCTTCAGGAATGGACACCCTAACCAAGACCCCCATGACTTATGTCACCATAAGCTTCAGAGGAAGTTTTTTAGGAGCAGAAATTATCCTTTAAAAGCTGAAGGATTTCAGAGGATGAAACGGTTCAGCCTTTTGGAAAGATGTTGCGTAACATGTATGAAGGCCTGCCAAGAGCTGCCCTGGGATCTGGTCCCTGCTTCCAGGGGTTGGTCACCAGTGCTGCTTTGCCCAGAGGACACCCTGYTGCTCTTTTCTCAGTTTCCCTGATGTCTTCCWTTTCATAGGAGGCTTTAGGCTGAAGTTGACCATCCATGGAATAGGACAGAGAGATTGAAAGAATGTATGCCCATTGCCTTCTTGGGGTAATCAGGGTGAGGGTGGGCCAGGCCCCCTCAAGAGCTCTTTTTGCCATCCTAACAAGAGTGGGCAGGTAACTAGCTGTCCTACCTGTTTTAACTGAGTGTTAATGCAGMAAAGGCCTTTAAAAAAGTCAATGATCTGCATATAGAGCTGAAACTTCCCCTCTGGGTTTTCTGGGTTGC